CCCCAAAACCCCAAAACCCCAAAACCCCAAAACCCCAGCTGAAATCTTTCAAGTTGAAATAAACCAAAAAGATTAATTCACTTTATTTTTATGAAATATTCATTTATTTTTTGGAATTTATATCATTAATCCTTCTCGGTCCTAACAATTTAAAAGTCTATTATGAAAACATTCAATTTTCATCTGTCTTTTCAAATGAACTCCATATGTTTAAGATTGTTAGTATAACTCCCATCATTGTTCCATATATACATAGAGCAAGGGCTAACCCTAGCTGCCACCAGCTGTTGTTCACACCGTGTCTGCGCATGATTACGAAGTAGAATAGTCCAGGAAAAGTGAAATTCAAGAATGGATTTCCAATTGAGCCTGCCAGCCTGATTACAACTTCCACATTGTGAATAAAACATGCTGATAGCACTATGATAAGATACATGAAGATTGTAATTCAGTAGTAGATACGATTTCTCCAGCTATTAGAAACAGTTTCAATGTTGGTATCTTCAAGTGTCAAAGCTTGGATCAAGTCATTGTTTTCGAGGTTGTAATTAGTATTAAAAGATCTTGACTGATCGATCTCAATTTCACTTTCGTCATTTGGGGTTAACTCATTGTGGACTCTTCTCTTTGATGCTGGTGTATGAAACTCCCTTTCTTTATATTCTTGTTCATTTGCAGCCGAAAGTAATTGGACTCTATCAGTAGGAACTAATCTGCTTCTTACATGTGGGTTCTGAAAGTGTTCTTCAGATTCGGCACTTTCAGTGATATTTTGTGTTTCTCCTCTGATAAAAATCAAAGCCACTATTGCAAGCAATGACTCCTTGAAAACCAAAAACACATATGGAAAATGTCCTGCCAAGATGACAATGAAAAAGCTTTTGAGAGCTATTCCTTGCCAATATAGGTCATCTTTAGGTTTTTGTAAATTTTGAAGAACATCTCCACATACTTTTTCTCCAAAAGTATGTGCAGATGCAAAAATAACCATCATATAGATGAGAAATCAAAAAGACATCGCCAGAATGGTAGTAATGATACCTTGAGAGTAGTTCTTCTCTTTCAAGTTGTTGTAAACAGGGAAGAATGCTGACTGGAACCCATACGCGACCAGAGGAGTAGATAGTGAAGCATAAAACTTCAGATCAAAGCTTGGTTTAAAGAATTTATTCCATTCATCTTCTTCATAATGATCAAGCCATGAGCTCCTAAAGAACATTCATAAGGAGAAGAAGAATCCTGTAAATAGGATCACCGTCGAGAACATTAATACTCCGATAATTTTGAGGTCTTCAAATTTCTTCTTCAACACCCATGGTGATAGCACTAATGCCATAGCAACTACACTGAACCATTGTTTATCTAGAGTTCCTTTACATGAGTGTTTTACCCAGGACACAATTATCAGCATTGAATTTAGAGATTGACCCATAATAATCAGGTAGGCAACGGGTAAAATTCCGAAAGCTACTATTTGCAGCGAGTTTACCAAGTATAGAGAGAATTTTCCCAGCACTTCACATCCAATTCTAGCCATCGAGTCTTGACCTGTCACTTCTGCTCATTTTAGAAACAGATGGATCGAATAAATAGCGCAGCTCCAGTTAAAAATGTGGTATGGAATTGCCAAATAAATGCTCATATGAAACGCAGAGAACGGTAACGCCACCAGTCCAGCTCCTACAATAAAGCTAATAAGCGATAATGTGGCAATCGGTGCCGAAGCTCTCGAATTCTCTACCATAAAACTAGCAGCAGTTCCTCGTGAGACATTCGTATTTTCTCTCATTAAAATATTATATTCTATCTCCTCTAATATCCGGGGTTTTGGGGTTTTGGGGTTTTGGGGTTTTGGGG